GTGCTTGCTCGTGTTGTCTCACTATGCAAAACATAAGCATTTAATGATGGGAGTTCTACCTGAAAATGAATCCCAGGACTTGGTCCTGTAATTATTTTTAGAATATTTAAGTGATATTTAAATGAAATATCAGTGTGTGGAGTGTGGCAGTGAGCAGAGTTGGGGGTTTTGGCAGGGAGGTGGTTCTAGAACACGCTCTAGCTCACTTGTTGGTTCTAGATCAGGTTCTAGCTCGCTTAGTGGGTCTGGAGCAGGTTCTAGAGCTCATGCCATATAACATTGTAGTTCTAGATCGCATTCTAGATCTCATGTCTATATCCCTTTATGTTCTGGATAGCATCCTAGAGCTCATTCTAGATACCTTTGTGACTTTAGATAGCATTCTAGAGCTCATTCTAGATAGTTTCGTGACTCTATATAGCATTCTGGAGGTTATTCCAGATCAATTTGTGGTTCTAGATCAGGTTCTAGAACACTTTGTGGTTCTAGATGGGTTTCCAGGGTGGCTTAGGGCTCCATTGGGTTCTGAGGGGGGAGGACCTAGTTCAGGCAGCTGTTTTGGCATCTCACCAGGATTTGGAATACTTGCTGATGATGAGAGCACTCTCACTGGGTTTTTTGCCTTTCTCATTTTACTTTCTTGTCTTCCGTGCTTTTTTTCTTCTTTGTGGCCCTTTTGAGTTGAAGGCCCAGAGGACCAGCCCATCAACTGCAGATCTCCCAAGTTTCTAGCCCCCTGACTCACCCTGCCTCTGTGGATGTTCTTTTTGCTGGAGGCCCAGAAGGCCAAATGCATCCTGGGCTGCATCAAGAGAAGCATGACTAGCAGGTCAAGGGAGGGGATTCTGCCCCTCTACTTTGCTCTCGTCAGACCCCACCTGGAGTACTGCATCCAGCTCTGAGCCCCCCAACACAAGGACATCAAGCTGTTGGAGTGGGTCCAGAGGAGGCCACGAAGATGGTCAGAGGGCTGGAGCACCTCCCATATGAGGACAGGCTGAAAGAGTTGGTCTTGTTCAGCCTGGAAAAGGCTCCGGGGGAACTGTGCCTGAAGGGGGGCCACAGGAGAGATGGGGAGGGACTTTTTACAACAGCATGTAGTGACAAGACAAGGGGTAATTGATTTAAACTGGAAGAGGACATATTTAGACTAGATATTGGGAATCTGTGGATGCCCCATCACTGGAGGTGTTCAAGGCCAGGCTGGATGAGGCTTTGAGCAACCTGCTCTAGTGGGAGGTGTCCCTGCCCATGGCAGGGGGGTTGGAACTAGATGATCTCTAAGGCCCCTTCCAACCCAAACCACTCTGTGATTCTATGATCCTGGAGTCTTTCTTCCTAATGTTTCAATATCTCAGCTTCAGAAACCCTGTAAACAGCCAGAGTGGTTTCTGGCAGGCCAACTTCTAGCAGCAGTCCTAGTCAATGGGCATTAGTAAGCAGTGCAGTGGTTTTTAAATGCGGTTAGAGGTGCGTCCACATGTCAATGTTTGGCTTTAGGTTTGAATGTTTAGTGGCATTGGATCCAGATTTTGGGTTGTCCTGATAGATCTGTGGGACCCAACGTGAAAGCTGGAGCTAGACTCCAAGTGCTTAGGAATTGAAACCTGGGAATTTGATGCTAGCTGGACCTAAGATGTGTTATAGGTGACAGAAGTTTCCCGGTAATTGTCCTTTTGTTGCTGTTGCTTTTAAAGTGCAGGTATTTCAAGGTCTCATGGTCATTCTGTGGCATGCATGCAAGTGGCCTAGAAGTAAAGTCTTTATTATAACGTTATAATACAGCAATAGCCTAAAATGTGTTTTCTAATCCCAGGAGAGGACCAACCTAAGTTGTCTTTCTGCAGGACCTAACTGAATGTCATCAGCTGCTCCTCTGCTCTAAATAAGCCGTGATCTACTTCTGAGCTGTGAGGTAACATGTTGCTTGTTTTGATTTTTAGTTCTCCCTAGCCTGCAGCTCAATACAAGCTTCATCTAAAAGGGCCGTACTTTTTACATGTGTCCCAGGGTTTAACTTCTGTTCCCACAGAAATCCAGCAGTAAAACTCCTTCTCAAATAAACAGAAGCATAAGTAGACCCAAGAAACACCTCTCATGCATTCAGCCAACTTGCTGACTTAATTTTCTGTGCCACAATTTTAAACAACTTATAAACTCCATTGACTTTCACAGACTTTGGACTGGAACCACTACAGAAATAAAAAATATCCATACACAGATTAATGTCTTTTGAAAAAAAAATATTTTTTCTTAGATTGCACATTCAAAACTTGAGCTGCACATCACACAGTATAGGAACAGTAGTTTGCCGATTCAATTACCACCATGTAGGTGTGTTTTGATTAGTTCGGCTGTAGCCCCAAGGTGTCAAACTCAGTCGGCAGCAGGAGATGGACCCCAGGTGTAATTACAGTCAGTGGCCAACACATCTCCTGGATTGTAAAACATTCTCAGTCTACACTGGACATGCACTGTCAGAGGGACTTTTGGACAAAGTCTTCAGGTAAATTGCAGCGGACCTTCAGGGAAAAACTGCTGTTCCGGACAGAGACTGTGTCTTCTCATTTGTCCACTGCATTTGGCCTTCTTTCTGCTGTCTCCCAGCTCTGCCCATTCACCCTCTGCTAAATGAACCGAGCAGTGAACTTCAACCACAGTGCGATGAAGTGGGGAGCAAGAGACCTCACATCCATGCTGGCAGGCTTTCTCTGCAGCCCTGAAGGCTACACAGAAGATGAAATGTTGGCTATGCTGGAGTCACTGCAGCTTTTATCCCAACTCTAGTGCTGCCAGGGAACAAGGGGAATTCTGTGCAGGCTGGCTTTGGGCCACTGGGCTTCTCTTTTCTGGGTCTTTGCAGCTACAAGGGCACATATGGACCACTGCCGTACAAACAACGTGTGAAGAAGACTGTTTTTTATCAAGGACCTTGTCCGGTGTTACAGTAGGATTAGTTTCATTTCTCAAGCGGATTGCTGTTTTGAGGATGAGGGTGAGAGGACAGACTCCTAGCTGGAAGCAGTAACGCAGCTGTCCTTCCCACAGCTACTGATAGTTTTAGATTTTGGTGTTAATTAGTGCTTTTCCCCAACAGGTATGTTTTACTTTAATAACAGTCAAAGAATAAATAAATAGGGAAATAAATAAATAAATAATAGTACTTTGTGCTTTGTTAGCATTGTCTGTCCAAAGTCTTTGAAGAATTTTTCCACGCTGAGCCTTACTATTTCCTGCGAGTCCCAGCAATCCCAAGAGCCTTACTCTGTTTCCGTTTATATCAATAGGAGCAAGCCCAGCCCCTGATGGCTTGCCTGGCGTTACACAGCGAGCCAATGACTGATCCAGAAAATATCCCTCAGGAGCCCCAGTTCCTACTTTCATGCTGCCTGCCCTCAACAGCACCAATTGTACTGTGATTCAAAGAGCAAGTTCCATCAAAATCAAAGAAAATCCCTACTTACTTCAACACTGTTTTTATAACATCTCCAGCCTTGCAGGGCACCAGGGTGTGCTTGGTCTGCTGTTGTTGTTGCTGTTCACTTAACACCTCCCTTAAAGAGGTTGTTGTTTTTTTTTTCCACCTGCTGTCACCTCCTAGGAAACTCTGGTACGCAATCTACACATGCAGGACTGCATGCCTGTGCCATATGTTAACCTTCTTCTGGTTTTCTCTTCCCATGTGTTACATGTCCGAGACATCTGCAAGGAAACAACATCCTGGCTATTCTTGCTGCTTCTCCCCCATGTTCCAGGTCTGATGCCATCACCACAGCAACCCAGCACGGTGTCACGGATGGTGGAACAGAGAGCTGGCACTGCACAGAGCCAGAAAAAAAGCAGCAGAAAGTGCCTGGTTTGGATGGGCGCTTATAACTGCAACCCAGCAAGTAAATGTGGAAACCTGGAGCAGAACACTGTTGTACTTGAATGCTGCACACAGGGGGTAGGCAGGCTTCTCACATTTCCAGCGTATTATCAGCAGAAGGACTCTGTTCCCTCTAAACAGTATTGAGTTATAAAAAAGCTATGATCTTCACCTAAGAGAATCTGTAATGTACCTTATTTTGTGCATCTACTCTTTCTTGTGCCCTATATAAGAATACAGCTGTTAGCACCAGCAGACAGACAAATGCTGTCCTGCTCAGCAGATGATGGTAAGAACTGGGTGAAGATCTCATTATCAGCAACTTGTAGAACCACTAGGTTGAGAGGACCTTTGGAGGACACCTGGTCCAACCTCCTGCTCCAGACAGGCCAAATTGGATAAGGTTATTGAGGGTCTCCTCAAGTTTTGAGAATTCCCAAGACTGGCAATTTCTCTATGCAGCCTGTTTGCAGATTTCCATTTACAAATGATCCACGTTTGCCACAAAGGCCAGATTCCTCAGGTTCATTCACTTTTATATCTTAATGAACAAGGGATCTGTGCTTTCTCAGTAGCGGGCCAGGGGCGCCCAGGGGCATACGGCATTCTCTACTCCAGCTCTCCTCACCTTCGGTGTGGGAGTGCAGCAGCTTTGAAAATGCAGTCCTATAACTTAAACTGAGCTGCCTGTCACTCAAGCCAGACGGCTGGGGTGGTTTTTGTTCTTTCTCAGTAGACTCTAGTAGTCAGTAGTCTCTGTTGTCTGCATTTCCAACTGAAGAGGGCAGCTGTAGTCAGCTCTGGTGTAGACAGCCAGTAACTCACAGGCTTCAAGCAGGCTTCTACAGCCCTCTGCGCGAAAATACCTGTGCTTGTGGGGTGAAGGACACAAAAACTCAGTTCCCTTCTGTAAAGATGACTGAGGTCTGTCCTTAAAACACACCCAAAACAAAAGCATACCTTAAAAAGTATGTGAAATAGCTGCCACGTTTTTGTGCGGTACCCTGCTCCCCCAAAATAAGAAATTAGGGTGGCTGTTTGTTGCTGTTATTCAAATGTTAATGCGGAGACCTTCTGATGTATTATGATGGACAACCAGTGGTGCACCCCCACTCATCCATGACAAGATCTTTCATTTCTTACTCAGGTGGGCATGCAGTTCTGCTTCCAAGGCCATCTTGTCAAAGGTGCGCACGTTTGTCTCCTCCCGTACCCTTTCCCGGACATGGAATGACGCCCGAGCGACAGACCTGGCATTTTCTAAGACAGTCTTCTTCTCCTTGAAGATCTGCTCGCTCCTCTCCAGCTTCCTCTCTATAGAGAGGAGGATCTCCCTGCGCCGTAAGTCCTCGTACTCTTCCACCTTTTGCTTGTTCATCTTCTGCACCTTCTCCTTCTCCAGGCGGCTCAAGACCACCTTGCGGGCTTTTTCTTGGACAGCCTCTTCAGCCACCTGGGCAGCATGCTGGAGCTTTCTCTCTGTCTCTCTAGCCAGGGCCTCCAAGTGCTCCTTCTGTTCCCTTTCCTTCTTCTCTGCTGCCAGTTTGGCTCTCTGGATCTGCATGTCCTCCCGCCTGGCCTTCTCCCTCAGCTCCTGGTTCCTCTTCTCCACTAGTTGTTCATAGTTTTCCTGAGCTTTAGTCAAACTCATCTCCAGAGAAGCCTTCAACATTTCCTTCTCTTCCGCCTCTTGCTTGGCCAGTTCCTTGAGCAAGGCCTCATGCTTCAGCTTCTCTGCTTGGTTGAGCAGTTTCTTCTCCTTCTGCAGCTGCACCTCCTTCTTCAGCCTCTTCTCTGCAGCCATAGACAGCTTCTCTTGCAGGAGCTGCTCCTCTCGCTCCCGGTGCTCCTTCTTGCCCTCCTCCTTCGCCTTCAGGTTGTGCTCTTGATGGAGTTTCTTCTGCGTGCCCTCCTGGACGGCCCTCTCCAACCTCTCCCTCCGCAGCCGCTCCTGCTTCTCCGCTTGTTCCCGCCACCTCTCCTCGCACACCAGGCGCTGCCTCTGCTTCAGCAGGGC